CTACGTTCCTAACCCTTCCAGTCGTAACATTTCTTCTATTTTTTCTATCCCTACTAAACCCTCCCTTCCTAGCCGTGACATCTGCCACAACTTCAACATGGGTAGATGTCATAGGATGCCATGCAGATACCTTCACCTGTGCTCCTACTGTGGCGGCGCCCACGCCAAGATAATCTGCCAAATCCTAAGAGCTAATAATAAAAAATCAAAAAATTATTTGTCGACTCCTGTGAATATTTCTAACCTTGCTCGGGAACTAAGTTCTCACCCTGATACTAACTTTTCTGATTTTCTCATTTCAGGTCTAACCCACGGATTCCACCCAGGTGTTGCAGCTCTCCCTTCACTTAATTTAATCTGTCCTAACCTGCAGTCTGCGACTTCCGAACCCGAAACAGTCGATTATCTTATTAAAAAAGAAATCGACAACAAATTTATGATCGGACCTTTTAAGGCTCCTCCATTCAATATTTCACGCATTAGCCCCATTGGTGTCGCAACTCGAAAATTTTCCGGCAAAAAACGCCTCATAGTCGACCTTTCGTCCCCACATAATTCCTCTTTCCCTAGCATTAACAGCACGATACCACTAGAAGAATATACGCTCAACTATCACGACATCGATCAAGCAATCTCTCTTATTAAGATAGCCGGCCACAACGCCTGGCTAGCCAAAGTAGACATCTCTTCTGCCTTTAAAATCATGCCAATCCACCCAGACTTCTGGCACCTTTTTGGCATTTATTGGCGCAATCAATTCTATTTTGCAGTCCCACTAACCTTCGGATGCAAAAGCAGCCCAAAAATATTTTACATGATGTCAGAAGCATTATGCTGGATTCTATCCAATAATTACGGAATTCCATACCTCATCCACCTTCTAGACGATTTTCTCATTATTTCTCCCCCGTCATCTCCTCCAGCCAAACACTTAGCGATCACCTAACAAGTTTTCGCTGATCTCGGAATTCCTCTAGCAGAGGAAAAAACTTCAGGCCCCAGTACTTCAATCGAATTTCTGGGCATTAATCTAGACTCGCACAAATTTCAAGCATCCCTCCCCAAAGAGAAGATCGATCGGATAATTTCTCTATCCCAAATCTTCCTCGAAAAACAGATGTGCACAAAACGAGAACTCCTATCAATTCTCGGCCATCTAAATTTCTCTATGCGCATCATTCCACAGGGCCGCCCCTTTATTTCACACCTCCTTCAACTATCCACCACAGTTCAAGGTTTAGAAGAAATAATTATTCTCTCTAAACCAAGTCGCGATGAACTCTGCTTATGGATCTCTTTCCTTAAGCAATGGAACGGCTGTTCCTTTTTCTATAGCGACTTAACAACTTCCCCCATCGACATTAACCTATACACAGACGCTGCCCCCTCTATTGGTTTCGGCGGCTACTACAAAGGACACTGGTTTGCCTCAACATGGCCACCCCAATTCAATTCCATTCCAAAAGACCAATGTTCTTCAGCCCTATTCGAACTCTACCCCATTGTCGCAGCAGCCATCTTGTGGGGGGACGAATGGTCTACTTTTAGCATTCTCATTCACTGCGATAATGAAGCCACAGTGCATTGCATCAACAAAAGGCGCTCTCACTCCCAAGCACTTATGCCATTTTTAAGACGCCTTATCTGGATATCTGCTAAAAAACAATTTATCATGATTGCTGAACATGTACCTGGTTGCAAAAACCAAATTGCTGACTCTCTCTCTCGCTTCTCTCTACAGAAATTCTGGCAACTGGCCCCGGAAGCAGACCCTCACCCAACGCCTGTACCTCCGTATTCAGAAACGATATTGCCATAAACCACCCACTTCATAATCTTCACCAAACTTCTCTATCTCTCATCCTGCAAGCAATAGCTCCTAGAACCCTCAATGCATACCTCACAGCATGGAATTCGTTCAAACAATTCCATATTCTACACCAACTTCCTTTCCCTGATTTTTCTCTCCTCTCTATCACTTCCTTTATATCCCACCTTCACACCGCAAATCACCTACAAGCCAGTTCAATAAAGAGCTACCTTAGCGGGATCCAGTTCTTTCACAAATTAATCCATGGGTCTCCTTCCGACGCCATCACAAATTCGCAAACCTCCCTTCTTATCAAGGGTATTCAGAAAAACCACCCCACCAGCCCTGATGCTAGACAACCCATCACACTCAAAATCCTTACCTCATGCATCTACACCCTTCGCAAAGGGTATATTTCCTCCCATACAGCCCGCACCTTAGATGCTATGTTTAATCTAGCATTTTTCGGGTTTCTTAGATGTTCCGAATTAACAGTTACATCTAAATTTAACCCTCTACTCCACCCCACCATCTCAGATCTAGCTTTGCAAGATAAGGAAACCATCTCTTTCCTTATCAAACAAAGCAAAACAGATCAAATCCAGAAAGGACACTCTATCCTCATTTTCGACATACCTTCACCTACTCGCCCATTCCAAACCCTCCTAGCCTATCTTAATCTAAGAAAATCTCAAGTAGCTAACCCTATGGCCCCGCTTTTTACTGACGACGCTAACCGTCCAGTATCTCGATTCTGGTTCCAAAAACACCTTAAAGAAATTCTTCGCCTATCAGGTTTTTCCCCAGAGCCTTTTTCCAGCCACTCATTCAGGATTGGCGCAGCCACTACAGCAGCCTCTAACGGGCTCTCACACAATCAGATCCAGACCCTTGGTCGCTGGTCTTCTGAAGCTTTCAAATCTTACATACGCCTCAGTAAATACCACCTCAAGGAAGCACAACAGGCTCTAACCAACCCCCAAGCAACTCCTCACAAGGCTCCAACTCACAAAGGTACCTAATAGAGCCTCAATTCTCGCTAGAGTCATCCTAACCAAACTCAGCAGAAGCCTAATCGTCCACCCATGGCACCCCTACAGGTTTTGCCAAGGACGCCCCCAAAGGCCATTACAGCTAGCATTTCAGCAACCTCAATTTGTTATACAAACTCGGACTTCCACTGAGGTCGCTCCGAGCTCCAACTCTCGCAAGAGTTATACAAATCCTCTCTCCCACTCACAGATATCTATCTTTTCCTATCTGCAATCTACCCTCAAGCTCTGACCTCCACAAAGGTCGCTCCGAGTTCCAACTCTCTCAAGAGTTACTCTCTCCCACTCAATGCTACCTATCTCCCCCTATCTTCACTCTACCCCCAAGCTCTGACCTCCACAGAGGTCGCTTCAAGCTCCAATTATCACAAGAGTTACTCTCTTCCACCCACCGCCTCCTACCTCCTAGCGCTTACCTCCGCAGAGGTTGCTCCAAGCTCCAACCCTCGCAATAGTTACCCTAAAACCGGTCTTCCACCCACTGCTCCCTATCCCCCTAATCTATACTCTACCCCCTAGCTCTGACCCCCGAAGGGGTCGCTCCTTGCTCCAACTCTCGCAAGAGTTACCCTTAAAACCTCTCATGGCTAACCCCTACCTCACCGCTAACCAGCACCTCCCATCTACACGCTACCTCCAAGCCATGACCTCCGCAGAGGTTGCCCCTATCTACACTATCCTCAAGCTCAAACCTCCGCAGAGGTCGCTCCTATCTACACCCTACCCTCAAGCTCTAACCTCCGCAGAGGCCGCTCCAAACTCAAACTCTCACAAGAGTTACTCCCTCCCACTCATTGCTCCTCCCAGCTACACTCTACCCTCAAGCTCAAACCTCCGCAGAGGTCGCTCCTATCTACATCCTACCCTCAAGCTCTAACCTCCGCAGAGGCCACTCTAAACTCAAACTCTCACACGAGTTACTCCCTCCCACTCATTTCTCCTCCCAGCTACACTCTACCCTCAAGCTCAAACCTCCGCAGAGGTCGCTCCTATCTACACCCTACCCTCAAGCTCTAACCTCCGCAGAGGCCGCTCCAAACTCAAACTCTCACAAGAGTTACTCCCTCCCACTCATTGCTCCTCCCAGCTACACTCTACCCTCAAGCTCAAACCTCCGCAGAGGTCGCTCCTATCTACATCCTACCCTCAAGCTCTAACCTCCGCAGAGGCCACTCTAAACTCAAACTCTCACACGAGTTACTCCCTCCCACTCATTTCTCCTCCCAGCTACACTCTACCCTCAAGCTCAAACCTCCGCAGAGGTCGCTCCTATCTGCACCCTACCCTCAAGCTCAAACCTCCGCAGAGGCCACTCTAAACTCAAACTCTCACACGAGTTACTCCCTCCCACTCATTGCTCCTCCCAGCTACACTCTACCCTCAAGCTTCGACCTCCACAGAGGCGCTCCGAGCTCCATCTTTCGTAAGAGCTACTCTCCTCCACTCACTGCTCCATACCTTCACTCTACCCTGACCCCCGCAGGGGTCACTTAGAGCTCCAACTCCCACAAGATTCACTCAAAGTTCTCTTTACACTGCTTCAAACAACCTATTCTCCCCTTCTTCATAACCCTGAAAACCATGACCCCCGCAGGGGTTCCTTCAAACTCTAACTCCAGCAAGAGATAATAGAATCCTCTCTTCACCCTTATTAATCCTATCTAATTAATGCCCATGCATTTAACCTTTTTCCTTCTATTATATCCAGCAGCCGGATATAGCTCTAAATTTCCTGCCTTTTGGGGGGTTTTCTCTTTGAATACGCGGCTGCTGTCCCGAGCGATTAATTTCTGCATTTTGGGGAGTTCTGAGATCCACCGAGCTCAGGCTCCCTTCTTGCTCTGCCAACGGGAGGAAGCCCCGGGCTCGAGGAGCCCTTGAGCTCGGGGCTCTCTCCCGGGACAGCATGCCAAATAAGCTTTGTAAATCATCAGCTAAGTGTGAACTCTTGAAGTGAAGTTTATTCATAAACTAATTTCGAGAGGATCACGTGCTTATGATTTATCACGTCCAGTCTCGCATTTGCTAATCACTAATCTTCCAATCATATGAGCCCTAAGGCACCATAAATAGCCTAAGTTTTCAGTTCACTTTATCTTCGTTTGGAAGAAACCCCCCTCCTCCCCTATTCTCCTCCTTTACCTGCGACTGGGCGGCACGGCGGTCCAGTGGTTAGCACTGTGAACCACACAGCAAGAATACTGCCGGTCTTAGTTCGATAGGACCGGTGAGTGTTTCTGTGGGGAGTTTGTATGTCCTTCCCGTGTCCGCGTGGGTTTTCCCCGGGTTCTCCGGTTTCCTCCCACCATCCAAAGACATTCAACATACTTAACAATCAAGCCTGTCTAATTCCTTACGTTCCCTTAGCTACAGCGGCAGGGGAGTTCTGAGATCCACCGAGCTCAGGCTCCCTTCTTGCTCTGCCAACGGGAGGAAGCCCCGGGCTCGAGGAGCCCTTGAGCTCGGGGCTCTCTCCCGGGATAGCATGCCAAATAAGCTTTGTAAATCATCAGCTAAGTGTGAACTCTTGAAACATATTTAGTAATAACAGTGGAAGAGCCCCCCTCTATTATTAGCCCCCCTCTATATTTTCTTCCCCAATTTCTGGTTAATGGAAAGAAGATTTTCTAAAGATAATAGTTTTAATAACTAATTTCTAATAACTGATTTCTTTTCTTTGCCATGATGGCAGAACATAATATTTGACTGGGTATTTTAATCTTAGTATATTTTTAAAGTTAGGGTAATTAGGCAAATCATTGTACAATGATGGTTTGTTCTGTAGACAATTGAAAAAAAAATGCTTTAGGTGACTGACAATATTGACCTTAAAATACTTTAAAAAAAATTAAAACAGCTTACATTCTAGCCGAAATAAAACAAATAAGACTTTCTCCAGAAGAAAAAATATCATATGAAATACTATGAAAAACATCTTGCTCTGTTAAACATCATCTGGGAAATATTTGAAAAAAAAAAAAAAAACTTCACAGGAGGGCGAATCATTCTGGCTTCAACTGTATGAGAACAAAGCAAAAAAAGGCACTATCCTGGTAAAATAAAGGATAGATAAAAATAAATAAATAAAATATAAAAACCAACCTTGTCCATGCTGAAGAGAGCCTGATACTGAGGCACGACAGCATTGCGTGGCTCTGTGAGGATCCGCACCAGCGTCTCCTCATCCAGACTGTGCAGAGGAACCACAACAGGGAGACGACCCACAAACTCAGGGATCATTCCGAACTCAATAAGGTCTCGGGCCTCCACATGTTTCAGAAGCCGGTCCTTCTCCTCGATCTCGGCCACAGCATCCACTTCTCCACCGGTGGTGTTGGCCAGATCAGCTGCTGCCGCCGCTCTTCTGCCTTTCCCCATGTTAGACGGTGTACCAAACCCAAGATACTGCGAGTAGGAAAGCAAGGGTGACATTAAATTTACAGTACATTGAGGTCGGTAGGATTTATTTTTTTGTCTCTTATGTTCACTAAGGGGCCAGTGCACACTAAGGGCGTACTCACACTATGCTATCCGAACTATACCCAGGCACGGTTCGTTTGAGAAGTGTGAGTGCTCTGACCAGGCTCAGGCGCGGTTCAGTTGGCCGGCCCTGGCCCAGTTGGAAGAGGTGTGCCAGAGCACGGCTCACTTTGGCACGGTACGCTTGTAGTGTGAGTGCAAAGCATGCCAGAGGGACTGTTTGATATGGATTTATTAATCATTCTTACTGTTTAATGGATAAAAACTGTCGTAGATTATTAAAGACGCAAACCCTTCACTGCACAACAGCTGCACCTTCAGAAAACCTCCTAATACATGCAGCATGAGGACTCTATGATTGTTTATAAGTGTCAGAAGTGGCTGATCTTTTCAGCAAATTATATTTGACTGCATGTTACAGCATCCCAAAGGAATAAAATGATATAAACAAAGAAATGTGCTAAGCGAGAGTGCTTCTCTTCGGTTAAACTGAACAGTGCATCATTGATGATGTAAGCGCGATCTGGTTTGGTGCAGTGTGAGTGCTGACCGTCAGGGGAGAAGGGGAGGGGGGACAAGCATGCTTCGGCACGATTCAAGGCAACTGTATATAGTGTGAGTACGCCCTAGGAGGCCTAATGGATAGTTGGACTTACATTTACATTTAGTCATTTAGCAGACGCTTTTATCCAAAGCGACTTACAAATGAGGACAAGGAAGCAATTTACACAACTAAGAGCAACAATGAATAAGTGCTATAGGCAAGTTTCAGGTCTGTAAAGTCTAAGAAGGAAAGTATTAGTAGTGTTAGTAGTTTTTTTTTTTTTTTTTTGGGGTACAGTTAGTGTGATATTCAGAGAGGCAATTGCAGATTAGGAAGTGAAGTGGAGACTAAATAGTTGAGTTTTTAGTCGTTTCTTGAAAGTAGCGAGTGACTCTGCTGTTCTGATGCAGTTAGGGAGTTCATTCCACCAACTGGGCAGATTGAGCGTGAGCGTGAGCGAAAGTGATTTCTTTCCTCTTTGGGATGGAACCACGAGGCGACGTTCATTCACAGAACGCAAGTTTCTGGAGGGCACATAGATCACATAGACTTGTGATCGGAAAGTTGGTGGAAGTGAATAACCAGTGCTCTCACCACCCTCAACTCAACAGCTGAGTCCCTTGAGCAAAGCACCGATCTCCCAAACGTCACGACTTTCACTTTTACTAACGGCGAGTTCAGACTGCATGGTTTTAGCCCTTTGATCTTGACTTGCTAACAGGTTTTGAGAAATTGAGTAGTTAAAACACTACTTTTCGGTCTGTTTGGACCCAAGAAATGGAGAAAAAACATTGGATATTTGCAGGTGCACCCATGTTTGTTTTTAATACCACAACCGGATCGAAAAAGAAAAAAGTTGGAGAGAAACTGCTAATTCCTTTCAAAACCCAAGTGAGGAAAATAAGTGCATTTTCTACCCCATTAAAGGCTTCTTTCTCATTATGTAGTTAACAACAAAAGATATACTACGTGACCTCGCATTGTTTCCATGTAATTTCAAGCGTGTTTGTTGTGAGACAATTTGCGGATCGAGACAAAGCTGTCGGCGATTCTCATATTGTAAAGTCACGCAGTGTGAAACCTCGTTGCAATGCATCTTGCAGTGTAAACACAGCAGCGACAGAATGCTACCCCAGATAGTCATGCAGTGTGACGCGACTACTTTAAGAAGTAGCAGTGCAGTCTAAACTCAACATAAGCCAATGGCAAACAACTTGCACAGACAAAAAAAAAAGTACTTTTATCGGCTCACGACTGGTTCTGTGTGGACAAAAAAGCTCAGAGTTCTGAACAGCTTAGTGCCTGAGTGAGAAGACGTGTCTTTCAACACCTGCAAGGCGGCAGTAATCCGTTTACTCATCCACAAACAGAAACAGGAACTTCCAAAACGTACACAGATCGTAAACAAAGCTTGTTTTTGAAAGTCGTGAAAACATTATATTGCTGAGTTCTTTGATTTGAGCAAATTATAATGCAGAAAATGTACTTGTGGTACTCTCCCATTCTCTGCACTCTAAAGGTTGGTTTATATGCCGCTAATTTGATTGAGTGCGCGTGGCGAATGTGACATCATGTCAGTGTTAGCGCATGTCTTTGGATTTGTAGGGGAAACCGGAGCACCCGGAGGAAATCCACTCGAACACGGGGAGAACATGCAAACTCCACACAGAAACGCCAACTGACCCAGCCAAGACTCGAACCAGCAACCTGTGCCACCATGCAGCCCCTTATTTGTTTTATTTATAGTTAAATGCATTCATTTAGCAACTTCACTCGCTGAATTCTTCTTTACTACTGTTTTGTCGTGACAGTTACTTCGAGTGGACCCCCTTGTTGTTACAAATAATAAAATTAATTTGTGATGCGGAGTCAGGCGAAAGTATAAATCAGCCTTAAGTTTACCCAACTATGACAATGACTTTTGCTGCTGAGAAACACAGAAATGTGAAATGGATTTACTGTTTAAAACAGTGCACGCATGCGCACACGCACGAACGCATGCACAGAAAATAACTCCCTTAAAAGTCACCTTCTCGTTCTTTCTCCTGCTGATGATGCGGTCAAGTCCATTAAAAGCTCCAGATGCTACAAACAGGATATTGGTGGTGTCGACCTGCACCGTTTCTCCTCTCAGCTTCCTGGTGTTCTTCTCTGGAACATTAACAATAGTGCCTTCCAGCAGCTTCAGTAACCCCTGGTTTAAAAAACAACAACAACAACACAACAGGTGTCATATTATCACTATAATGATACTTCCAATAACAATCAGATTTGTAGGCTCAGTATTGTTTGTATACTTAATGCGTAGAAGCCACATATTGCAAAAATAAGTGCGTCACATTTATTGTCAGTCATTAAAGAAGTACAGTAGGAATAGAGAAGTGAGATTTCAAGAATGACAGTGTCTGTAAATCGTTAACAGCCTTGTGAGTGTGCTTGTGATTTAGGTCAAAGTTCAGCTGAATATCGGTAATGTCTGTCATCACTTTCAGTGACTGACCTGCTGCACTCCCTCTCCTCCCACGTCCCTTAACTGATGGATTCCGGGAACACTGCCGATCTTGTCCACTTCGTCCAGGAACACGATACCTGGAACAATTTCCACATCTCAATCGAGCTTTAAAGTCAGCATGAAATGGTAGTAGTAATCATCATTGTTGAAGATGATATCGATATTGAAGTAAAATGGCTTAATGGGATAGTTCACGCAACAATACAAATGTACTCCATATTCACTCTTCCACCTTTTGAAGTTTGTTATTTTCGGATAAAATAATAGATAAAATAATTTATTTATTTTGAAGAAAGTTGGAAACCGGTAGTCACTGACATATTGCTGTCCAAATTGTTTTAGTTGAATCAAATGAACTTTTCTAGTCAACTCAACTTACTTTAGTCAAAGTGACAAAAACTATTACATTAAACCTGACTAACCTGTTGAAATAAAGTATCATAAAAACATTTGTTGTCATGACTTTTTTCCATATACTTTTTTACAATGTAGGAAATAAATAAATTACTCAAAAATTACTCAAAATATCTTCTTTTGTGTTTAAGTGGAAGTGTTCAAGTGAAAGATGACTGAATGATGACAAGAAATTTTATTTTTGGGTGAACTATGCTTTTGATGAATGAAAAAAAAAAAAAGAAATGTCGGGCAGAACTCAACGTACATGCCTGTTACTGTAGGCCAGGGGTGTCCAAACTCGGTCCGGGAGGGCCGGTGTCCTGCAAAGTTTAGTTCCAACTAAACTATATGCCACAGCCATATCACCCTGCAGCCCAAGACCGGTTACTCACTGAAGCTAAGCAGGGCTGAGCCTGGTCAGTACCTGGATGGGAGACCACTAGGGAACACTAGGTTGCTGATGGAAGTGGTGTTAGTGAGGCCAGCAGGGGGCGCTCCACCTGCGGTCTGTGTGAGTCCTAATGCCCCAGTGAAAGTGAAGGGGACACTACACTGTCAGTGGATGCCGTCTTTCGGATGAGACGTTAAACCGAGGTCCTGACTCTCTGTGGTCATTAAAAAATCCCATGGCACTTCTCGTGAAAGAGCAGCAGTGTAACCCCGGTGTCCTGGCCAATGTCCCTCTATCGGCCCTTACGATCATGGCCTCCCAATCATCCCCTTTCACCGAATTGGCTCTATCACTGTCTCTCCACTCCACCAATAGCTGGTGTGTGGTGAGCGCACTGGCGCCGTTGTCCTGTGGCTGCCATCGCATCATCCAAGGGGATGCTGCACACTGGTTGTGGTGTGGAGAGACCCCCCCTCATGATTGTAAAGCGCTTTGGGTGTATGGCCGTACACAATAAATGCGCTATATAAATACACATTACGTTACGTAACTTCAACCAGACACACCTGGGCTAGCTAATCAAGCTCTTCCAAGGCTTTCTAGAAACAACCTGCTTCAACACACCAGTAAAGATGGAGCTAAAATCTGCAGGACACTGGCCTTCTACGACTGAGTTTGGACACCCCTGCTGTAGGCATTTCAAAACACAGCAAATAAATACTTGCCATTTAAACTTTAAGAATGCCTTTTAAAAAGATTCAGATTGTTGTATTTGCAGTGGTGTTCATCAAAGCATCAAATAATAACGGATAAAGTTTAGCTCCTATTTAAAAACTGAAAATATAATATAACGTCGATAAGAAATGTAGCCATTTTCACTCTTGATGTTAATGGAATATTTAAAATTGATTAAAAAAACTTTAGTGTGAAGTGTTGGCTGTTATGTTTCAAAAACCCTTTTGCAATTTTATTCATTTGAAACATTTGTATTCCCTGAACATTTATCAGTCTCTCCTGGATTTTGTACATTTTGCAAATTAAAATATTTGTGTATTTTCACAGCAAAAACACAGGAATTGAATTAAATGATGCCACAATTTGGGAAAGGCCAACACAAAATTCGTCATTTCAGGCTGAAGATATATATAAAAAATAAATATATAATACATATACAAAAATATAACTGTAAGGGATCAATTATTTGTACTATATTGTTTACATTTTTTCATTCTTTAGACTACATTGTATGTGTATTTTTAGATCATATTTTATGTGTAATTGTATTTATAGTAAATTCTTTCTTAAAACTCTACTTTTTGTATTAATATTATATGTTAGGCAACTAGGGTCTGAGAGTAACGTGATTTCGATTCTCTATATGTCCTGTAGAAGTGGTTGAATTAACAATAAAGCTGACATTATAAAATAAAGATATGCCAAAAAAAAAGCCGTAGAGTTCTTTTGTTATTGTACCAGTTGAAATACCCCGTTTTTGCAGTCATAATACTGTATATCACTATAAAAGCTTCAGCATTTATCACTAATTTAAAACATTATGAAGAAATAAGCTATTGCTGAAGAGGTTATTTTGATTTAAAGTTGACAAGGGGAGAATGGGAGAAAAATGTATACAGTTGAAGTTGAAATTATTCGGCCTCCTATGAATTTTGTTTTCTTTTTTAAATATTTCCCAAATGATGTTTAACAGAGCAAGGAATTTTTCACAGTATTTCCTATAATATTGTTTCTTCTGGTGAAAGTCTTATTTGTTTTATGTCAGCTAGAAAAAGGCTAAAAGTTTTAATTGTTTAAAAACCATTTTAAGATTAATATTATTACCCCCCCTTGAGCAATGCATTTTTCCAATTGTCTACAAAACGATCCACTGTTACACAAAGACATAATTACCCTAACTTGCCTAGTTAATCTAGTTAAGCCTTTAAATGCCACTTTAATTTGAATACTAGTGTAAAAATCTAAAATTTGTAAAAACCAGTGTGTGCTTTAAATTAAATCATTTCCATTTTCTATTATGTTTTGTTTTTCTATTTTTTGTTTTGCATTGATAATTTCAGTTATGGTTATATAATCATCTATAAATCTTAGTTATTCATTTTGTCATTCATCTGATTCATATTTTAAAATTAATTTATGTTTATCATTTATTATATATATATTCATTATTTTATGTATTTATTACTTTTTCTGCTTTTAGTGCTTTTTCCATTGTTTAGTCTTATTTTGATGGTGTTTCATGAAATGTTCCTCTCCACTAGTATGAGATTGCGAGTATGTCTCTAATTCAAGGTCTTGTGGCCTGATGTATAATAATCTTCTGTTATGTTTGTGCTGTTCAGACAAAGTATGATAGCGCACCGAAACTCATGCAACTAAGATTATTCAATAAACCCTGCTCTTTTATTATCATCACTTCTTATCCTGCTTCTGCTCTTCTCTGGCTTCCTTCCACAGTAGACTCCTATACTGATAGTAGACTGCTAATTTAATTAAATACAGGTTAACAGGTTTGGGTATTGGAAACTCTGCTTGTTTGTTGTCCAAATACCTGGAGAACAGGTATGGGAGACATTTCCTGACAAGATCTGGCGTAAGGGCTGGATCTAACACTGGTATCTTGAAAAATATCTAGTAAAATATCATGCGCTGTCATCATGGCAAAGATAAAATAAATCAGTGATTATAAATGAGTTATTATAACTATTATGTTTAGAGATGCCTTGACAAAATCTTCTTTCCATTAAACAAAAATTGGGAAGAAATATATACAGGGGGGCAAATAATTCAGAAGGGCTAACAATTCTGACTTCAACTGTATATAACATGTGCTGGTAAAATAAATGTTGATTTTCGTGGTGGTGCAAATACAAGAAATGTCTAGGAAATATAGTCTGTGATCTTTAATTCATGTTACTAAATTGTAAATGTAGTCTGTTAGAACTGTTACCTTGCTGAGCTTTCTCGATCACATAGTTGGCGTCCTGCAGTAGTTTTGCGATGACTGACTCGATGTCTTCTCCCACATACCCTGCCTGGGTCAGCGTGGTGCAGTCACAGATTGCAAAGGGGACATCCAGGCATTTGGCCAGCGTTTGAGCCAGAAGTGTTTTACCTGTTTAAAAAAAATGTAATACAAATTTAGATACTTACGATTACTTAAAAACTTTCACATTGCTCTCTGGAACACTTTTCCCCCTCATTAACTCTTGTTGTTTTATTAAATTGCAGTGTCAAATCAGCTTCCCTGGCTACTATATGGCAGATACAAGTGAAACATATAACACGCTCTCATAAATGCAACTGAGAAACAAATCGATTGGATAACTTGGATAAAAAGACAACACAGTAAAAAGCAAATAGTTGACTTTAAAGCGAGTAAACCTATTGACTTAAAATTAGTAAGTAGGGCCGCATGAATAATCTGAAAAAAGATTACAATCTGAATTCGACCCTACACACGATCACCCTACTTTTCTGCTTGATTCAGCCAATTATATTTTCAAGGTCATTAGAGAAGAGTTAAGGTGGACTCACAAGTCTTCACAGCAACATGGACACCTTCAAATGGCGTTAAAAGTGTCACATACTGTATTTATAAGGTATAATTCACCCAGAAATGTAATTTCTGTCTAAATGTAATGATGTATTTGCGGCTGCGAAATCACATGAGGCGACTGTGAGCTGTTTGTTCACTACCGAGAACGCACGTGTGCATACCAATCTGTGAATAACAAGTAATAAAGTTGTGAAAAACATTCAGTTTGTTGCACAGAGCGATGGTTTGTGAGGCGCTCTGAAAGAATGATTTGCATGGGGAAGTGAAAGTGAAGGTGGTGTTACACCAAATTCTGTGATCGTAATCTGTGACCCAAGTAGGCAATGTTCTCTTGCTCCCACAGGCACCGGCGCACACATCATTCAAATGATCATAACGCATTTTACAGTTATGATTTTGACAAGCATTTGATGTGTTTTTTCTTTCATAGCGAACACAGTGTTGTGCATGAAAATAAATGTTTATTGTGTCAGTAAAACTACACTAGCCTATATTATGTTGAATTTAATACAAGAAGGAATCTGAAAATGACAAATGTTTCATTTTACCAGTGAAAACAAATGGTCTAATAATGCTGTCAATGACAAATGACAAGCACATGTCTCAAACATAATAATTCAACTGTATAATTATGAATAGTTGTATTCTGATGTCATCACTTTACTGTGAATTAACAAACAGGACATAGTGAAAGTCTGTTCAAGTCCACCATCATGACTATACAAAACTTTGCATTTTAACCAACAGCAGAGCTACACATAGTCCTATAAATACTATAAAGTCCTATAAATATTTACATTTACATTTAGTCATTTAGCAGACGCTTTTATCCAAAGCGACTTACAAATAAGGATATTTGTCCTCATTTGTCCTCATTGTATAATATAAATATTATATTATTGTTTTACCATATGTTTGAGAATTAACAATAATAATAGCGTACCAATATTAACCTCTATTTTACTTCTAAAGAATCGTGGGAAAACCGTGATCGTTAAGCAAAAAAATTGTTATTCACATTTTAGCCAGAATCGTGCAGCCCTATTAACAAGTAAACAAACAACACGTATAATTATAAAAACATGTTCATTTTTAAGTAATTATGAGTTTTAAACTATTTTTTTAAGTAAACTAACTGAACTAGTTAATTGCTTTTTACAATGAAAGTCGAGTATAAACACATAAAACTTGAAAAAAAAGCTTGATTGCATTGCATCCCTTCTTGGTGTCAAATCATCCTTCAGAAATAGTTCTAAAAATGCTGAATTGCGTCCAAACCGTGTTTGAAATGAATTCGTCATTCAGTGCTTGGCATAAATTAGTACACCCCTCACAGATCTCGATTTTAAATTAACATTTTCTATAAGATGCTTTACAATAATATATTTGTGCATAGGTTAGTCAGTAACAAAGCCAATGTTTTGGACTCTTTAAATTTGGACCCTAATCTAACTAATTTAGCAAAAAAACTTAAGATCAAAAGTACACCCAAATTAATATGTTAGGAGAAAATCTTAAATAAAATTGTAATGAAGATGAAAAATCATGAGAAACATGAAACAATATAAAATTTAGTACATTTTTTTTTTTATATTTTATTGTTTTATTCAAGTGTATGATCTTTTAACTCCTAATTATGTTCAGCGACCATCTCTTATTTAGATTAATATAACTGTTTAATTAACATGAAAGAATACACAATTTAGCAATTGTTTTTTTGTTTTGCAATTCCTCATTTGAATTTAAATTGATTATCTTTTTATTATCTAATAATGTTCAGCAACCAAACTCTTATTTTACATAAAAATAAAAATTGTACAAAATATGTTGTTGTTGCAGTTCCCCTTTTGAATTTAAGTGTATTATCTTTTTATTCCTAATTATGTTCTGTAACCAAACTTATTTTGACTAAAATAATTCTTTAATATACATAAAAAATTAGAAAAGAGAATTTTTTTTTAATTTGTTGTTGCAATTCTTCATTTGAATTTAATTGTATTATCTTTTTTATTCCTAATTATGTTTTGGCAACCAAACTCTTATTTAATTAATGTAACTGTTTTGTTTAAATGCATCAAAAATGATTGTCTTTACTCACTGAGAAATGAATAAAAAATATTCATTTTCAAAAAGATGTATAGATGTGTAGTCATTTATGTATATATGGATTGAACAGTGAATTCAGTGTGTTTTGCTCTCACCAGAGCCAGTGGGTCCGAGCAGGACGATGTTGCTCTTCTCCAGCTTTATGTCGGTGTGTGTGGAGTCCAGCACTTCTCCTCCTCTCTTCTCGGGAGGAGTCTGCTGGTTCAGCTGCTGCTGCATGGAGGCGCCCAGTGCATTTCCATGAGGACTGATCCCTGCGATCTGAAGCAGCTCTGGACAAATCACACAACAGCAGCAAACACAAAAACAAAACAAAAAATATACAGTTGAAGTTAGAATTATTAGCCTTGCCTTTTTTTTTTTTTAAATATTTCCCAAATGATGTTTAACAGAGCATGAAATTTTTCACAGTATTTCCTATAATATTTTTTCTGCTGAAGATAGTCTTTTTTTGTGGCTGGAATAAAAGCAGTTTTAATTTTTTTTTATCCATTTTAAGGTCGATATTATAAGTCCACTTAAGCAATATTTTTTTCGATTATCTACAGAACAAACCACTGTTTTACAATGACTTGCCTGATTATCCTAACTTGCCTACTAACATAGTTAAACCTTTAAATGTCACTTTAAGCTGAATACTAGCATCTTGGAAAAACATCTAGTAAAATCTTCTCTCTCCAACAGGAATTGGACGGGAAAATATACAGGAAGGGCTAATAATTCTGACTTCAACCATATATAAAAATGAAATTAATTTGAAGCTTGAGCCCTGCACAAATGATTACCCAAATGCTCACGTTACAAAAATCCTTCATGCATTTATTATGAGTATTTAATGCAAATGTAGTGATTTAATGCAATGTTAGGGTTTTTTTTTTTTTTTAACCGATTGGTTAGTAATAGCAGTGTTGAAGGGCTGGGCAATTTGTCCTAAACTCAAAATCTCAATTAACTGAACATTTTAACCAGATTACGAATAATGAACAATTATTTATTTTTTTCTATTTTATTTTTTTGCCCTCATAGTTCACTGACAGGTTTTGTACAGTAAATATTTGCACATATCACAAGTGAGAAATTTCTGAATGAAGGGTGCATTACTTGATTTTAAAATATTAGGAATACAATAAATAGGAATAAAAGGAAACAAACACTATCTACGATGATTATTTACTGAACATCAACGTTGAACAATTGGATTTAAAACACGTACCTAAAGCGAACAGTCATTTATTTCTTATAAAAGTGAAAAAAACAAAAAACTGCACTTTTGGAAACTAAATAAAGTATTTTCAATGTTTTTCATATTAAAAGCAGAAAATAAGCAGCATTTTTTCTAAATAAAATAACTTTTGTATATCCTGTAAATAATATTTAAATAGTGCATTTCCTGAATCTTCTGTAAACAAATGTTTGAATGTAAATAATAATTTTATTCCAATGGAAAATGTGCCATCTCAAGGCATCTCTGTCGCAGCTGCCAATCATTGTTAATGTAGTGGAAAGTACGGCTCAAGAATGGGTCCATGCGTCCTACTTGACCAGAGATCAGATGCGGCTGCAAAAGTATAAGGCTTAATCCAAATTCTACCCCTTAGCCCTTCCCCCCAACCCTCGTTTTGCACGTGCCCGTAAAGGGGTATGGGTGTCTTAATTCTCCTTAGCTTAAAGGCGTAGGGCTACTGGCAAGGGGTATACACCCCTTCAAACTAAGATTTTTTAGGACCACACTTCAAACCAAGGGGTAATAAAAAAATTCCCAGAATACACCAGCCACAGCTGCACCCGGAAGTAAGGAGATCCACAAATTAGTATTTTTTGTCATTATTAGGAATTTTTACAACAAACAAGCACATGTTTTAATATATTCATAATCTTGTTCATGTTTTACCATCATATTTAAAAAAAAAAAACAAAGTCAGACTGAACGACAATGTAGACACGGCAAACACGAAAGAAAACGCCCCTGTAATTTGATGCCATCCACCCTTTACACTGTCCCGTGTTCTGAAATGATGCAGCAATTTTGCACGCGGCGTGTCTCAATTATAAAACCAGGAAGAAAATCAACTATTTTAACATTTCACCGCGGCCATTTAAATTGTTGCATGGATTGCATCATCAATTTTGAAGCTCCTATTGACGCTCATCGCCGCTGTTGTCACACTGCAGGAAAGTGTCTGAAATCTTCTAACACTGCCAGAACATCATTGGAGGAAATATCTATTCGCAATGGGCACTAAGCAGCGGCCAGTGAACATGTCAAAACAACGATCAAACAACACAGATTTTAGCCAAGGATTTCAGGAATCTTTTAGGATTTCCCAAATTTGTTTAGTGTGAGCAGGGCTTAACACAGGATTTGGATTAAATTCCACACAGAATTTAAATCAACATAATCCAATAGAATATGCTTCATAGCTAAACTGTTTATAAATAGAACATGTGGGAGGATGTTATCTAAGAATTTAAAAATGTGTGTGTTCCTGGAGTGATTCTACAAAGGGAAACAATCTAGACCAACTGGTTGGAAAATTTATAGAATTTTCTTTTACCGACATTAGGTTATTTATAAATGACCTAATTTAGTCAAGTGTTGTTTTTTTTCACTTGGCTTGTAAATTTGTTTCACTTGGCTAATAAACGTCATTTACAAAAATGCACTTACAATGACAGCCTCAGGGCAAGATATTCTTAAGTATTTAAAATAAACTGGCACTAGCAAAATGAGCCACGGCAATTATATCATGATGATCAACAAGCATTTATTTGTACTAATCGACCATATCATATAATAGGTGCATTTAACTAAACATGATTTAAAAATTCCTAAGGGAAAGAGGTGGCCACTAACAGTACATACAGTAACTCAGGTTAACTCGCATAACTCTGTCAAGTGAAGTGAATTAAAATATAAACATTGGATTAAAAAATTCAAATTAAATATTACATTGGCAAATAAACAGATCAAAAGTTTCTATACTGAAATCCTAAAACAGAAATAAAAATCAATCAATCAATCCATCAATCTGTCTGTCTGTCTGTCATTTTACCTAATTAAAGTGTCTACTTCGATGTTTCAAAAAACTTTTTGTGAAAACAAATGTCAAAAAAACGTGTGATAATTTCATTAAGTGCATATATTTATGCAAAGGTGACACTGCATGAGTTTTATTTTATTATATATCTACACACACACACACACACACACACACACACACACACACAAACACACACACAACCACACACACACGCTCCCACAAATTCATAAATATTCACTGAAAAAATGTATAATAATATTCATTTTCATAAATACTCATGTATGCTTTGCATTTTATATGCAATCCCCATTTTACAGACAGGTGCGATAAATTAACTTTATATTAAGTGTCAAGCATTTGTCTGTTGTGTATGTTGGTAGTTTATCAAAAACTGACCAATCATGTCGGCGCCAATAGCCTAGTGGTTAGTGCGTCGACACATTAGCAACAAGGTG